TGTATTTTTTTAGGGGGGTATCTTTAACAAAGTATGCCTTGCACCTTGGAAGGCCCATGTGAGACCCTCCTAAGGTGCTGTATTTTCTACCTCACGGAATATTCTCCCAGAAATTGCAATGTATTTTTTTAGGGGGGTATCTTTAACAAAGTGGAGGGATTCTTCTTAGTTTAGCAATAGTAAGGTTTGTATCTGAGTCTTGTATCTGGCAGGATGCCAGTGCTTAGTTTGTTGTCCCTATGTCCTGAAAACACAAGACTGGCAGATGTGTTTACTCAAGGAGGGACCAAGATGATGCAATCATCTGAGGTTATCATTTGTAAATGCTGAGGGTATGGAATATTTGTTGCCATGTCTGAGTCTTAGAAACTGGCTATTCACTGTTAAAGGGTGATGCTTTGTAAAGCCACTCCCTCGAGGCCAAAAATAACCAGGGATTTTAAATTGGGCCAGGGATAAGGTGCTAGAGTCCCAGGCTCTGGAAATGTTTCATGAGACTGATGTGAGTATTCACTCACTCATGTTCCAGGTGTATTTTTATAATTGTGTGTGTGAGATGTATGTACATATATGTGTGTCTCTCAGGAAGGAGGAAACTGGAAGTGGAAGATTTTATGACCTGAAAAAAATAAAAAATAACATTGAGCTAGGCTAAAAATTAGGTAAAGGACACTTGCTTACTTGCAAATGAATCACCATAGAAATATGATCTTCCCATGTCATCAAGAAACTTGTTTTCTGGATGAGTACTGGGAAAATCAAATGAGCTCTTTAGAGCAAGGACTAAGGTGATCCCCATTAGGTTTTTCTGCTTAATGTTTTGACACCTCTCCCCACCTGCTACCTACTCTAGGCTTGTCCTGAGAACATCCCACAGCAATCTGATATCATTCATGTGACCTATAGGATGTCCTGCCTCCAGGGCAGAGTCAGGGGAGACTGGAGACTACAGTGGGTCTTCTTGCTACGGGGTGGCTTGACAGGCTCTTTGCCTCCCCCAATTCTTATCATGGAGGAAGCAACAGCCAGGAAATCTTCAAGTGTAGTGACTGCTAAGTCAGTAGTAAGCTCCTTAGATTCCCTGCTGGTCTCTGCCCGTCTTCCTGATTTTGGGTACCAGGTATATTTCAGCTTTGACTTTAATGCTTTCTAGGATAGAGTAAGCATCCTAATCTAAGCACTACACTTTAGCTTCCTTTGCAAAGACTACTTAATCTCAGTCATCACCCCACATTCAGACAGAGCCAAGGAGATGCCCTGTTGCCCATGGCTATGATGTCCAACAGTGGATTGGCTCCAGCAACAAGGGGAGACAAACTCTAATCACGAGCCTTTGCTCTCCTCTGAGATGGAGGCCTGGGGCTTATAGTTTGGAATATAACATGTGAAGGGTTTTTTTGTTGTTGTTTGTATTTTTTTTTTTACTGTAAACTTGATTATTTTATTGCTAACTTAAAAATAAATGACTCTATATTGATTGTGAAACAGTTCTGGCTCTAGCTCCCTGCAAAATACATAGTGATTTGGTGCCACCACGTGGTGATTTTTGTTCAGGTTTTGGTATGGGGTTAAAAATCATTTTAAGTCATATGCTGGACTAGATGAGGTTCAAAAGTTCAAATTTTTGAAATGGTTTAACTCCCCCAAATTGTAGTGTAACTGTAGTTGAGTTTCAGATTTGAGGTACTTCCCTCAAAATAATTTGGTTCACTCATTGAGTATCTGGCTCTAGGAGGAAATGGGGGAGATCTGTTGTGATGTTATCTAGAAGGCACAGCAACATACTAAATGTCCTCTGAGATTCCTGTTGCTCTAATTTTTGAGTCTCTCACCTGGGAATAACATTTCTATTAACATTCTGGATTCTAGAAGCCAGATCCATCTCCTTTTTCCTTCTGGCATTCCCGTTTCCTTCATACCCTCTTCCATATCCAGATGCACTTCTGTCTCCCTTCCTTCAGAACTGTCTGCACAGTGATGTTGTTTCTCATGTTGTTTCTCATACTTTTTCTTTCCTTGTCTGGATGAGCAGAAGAAGATCATGATCATGATCTGCTGTGTTATCCTTGTGGTCATCTTAGCTTCTACCATTGGGGGCATATTTGCCTGAGCAAGGTGAGCCATCTGTGGGGAGGGTCAGGCTGCTTTCACTTACTTGAATCTCTTGTGTCCTGGGGGCATTCTTTGTCACCAGGTGCCCTAATGTGGGTGGGATTAAGAGCTGGAATAGATAGAGAACACTAAGGAAAGGGATGTTTCTGAGAGAGAAAAATGAGTTGGCGGCAGGTAGTTCTGGGGAGGACAGAGGGAAAAAGAAGGTGGCAATTTGTCCTATAACCAGGTCTGGTAGGAGAATGCTTTGTACAGGTTAAGGATGTTGATTCCTGCTGCAGATTTTAGCCTTGGTATCTTAGAATGGCAAAAGGAGCAAGAATTAGTTCTTGTATTAGATTGACTCTGAATTCTTTGGAAGAGGTCCACACAGTAAACTCAAATTAAATTTCTTCCCTCCATTGTTAAGACAAGATAACGCAGCCTTGTGCGTTGTCCCTTACTCCTGCAGAAGAGGGACTTAGTGATCCAGGCCACAAACACCAGGCTATATAATCTGTGACTTTTTTCTTCCATTCTCCTGTTATCTCTTTCAGCCCTCACAGATGGATCCTTGACTGGCATTTCTACTCCTCCTTCCACCTCTGTGGTGGCATCACGTCTCCACTGCAGACTTCTCAACTACTCTTTCCATTATGAAACTTCTTATGACAAAGGGCGTCAATCAACCACTTGTATTAAAAGTTATGCAAAGGGAGAACAAGCTTATGAAAATTCATATGAAAATATGGCTTTGGGTAGGGAGCAGGGGTGAAGGAACAGGGAGTACAGCAACATGTAGCTAGTTAGGCAGATGGTTTAAAGGAAGGTACTGCAGGGTAGAGAAGAAAGCATAACAGGGACCTGTTTAGGAATTAAAACTTAAGAGCCTGCACCGTCGGTATGGCTGTGAAGAGGCAGATATCGTAGCACACCCAATTCAACAGGACCTCGTTTTAAGTGCTGTGAGTTGATCAGGATCAGGGCACTGTTACTTCTGCCCCTCAGGCTCTTCTAGGTCTCACCTTTGGCCACCCCTACGTCTGCTTCCTTCTTAGGGTCCAATAGTGGTCTTAAAAGTGAAGAGTATCTAAAGATAGACACCAAGCCTGCTTTGCTCACTGCTGTGCCCCTACTGCTTAGCACAGTGCCTGCCACTTCTCCTTCTTAGGGTCCAATAGTGGTCTTAAAAGTGAAGAGTATCTAAAGATAGACACCAAGCCGGCTTTGCTCACTGCTGTGCCCCTACTGCTTAGCACAGTGCCTGCCACTTATAGGTGCTCAAATATCTGTTGACTTAATTACCTATAATTTAACTCTGAGTTCACTCATGCACAAGTCCTTGGATTTGACTCAAACTCTTTAAGGCATCAGTGGGAACATGGTTTGTTCCTATCAGGGGCTGTGTAAAGCCGCCTGGGAATGGGCTAATCTCCTTACACAAAAACACTACAACAGGCTCCCTCGTTACCACAACATATACTTTAAAGTGTTTTTCCATGTGCTTTTTCTCTGATAGCGGAGGTCTTTCTGCCAATAGACTCTCTGTGGAGTGGACAGCTGGCCCCAGGATTGTGGTTCAGTGACTAAATACAGACCCAAAACAAAAGAAACGGGTTTCTGTTATGACTGAACTCCCAACCAGCAGCCACTCAGTACCACACTCAATGAACCGTAACAAAGAACAGATGTTGTTAGGTGACAAAGGTGAAAGAGGTTATCACTGACTTCACTTCTTCCTAACTTGTGCTGCCAGCTGAAACTGCTGGCCAGCAATGTACATGTAAGAACTGTTCCAAATACTGTCCCCAATTCAAGGTTCAGTTGTGTTCGGCTTTAAAACTAGCTATGTGAATATGAGTTCTAATACAAATTATTTATTTAGTAATTAATTTCAAAAGGTTCACTAAAACGTTAAAAATCACAGTACCCAACATTTGAAGACAACAGAACTGTTTAGGTAAGCTTGTACTTTTGAAAATATATTCTTATTTTCTTTGCTGGAAATCTTATTTTTTAAGAAAGTGGGATAAAAAAATGACATTTTGATTAGTATGCTGATTTAAAAAATGACATTTTGACCACTTTAAAAAGCAAATGGTTTATTATTTCTATCAATTTGTGTTTCCTTTAGTTTAAATAGGGGATAGAAATTCTACTATCTCTGAAAATAGATTAATCTTCTTAAAGGTAAACAGGGAGCTAGAACCATGGAGATTTGAATCATATGGGGCCCTCATTCATCCAGCAGTAATAATTTGGATGCTACATGGCACTGTACTAGATCTTGCAGGAATGTAAAGATAGAGCCAAACACCCTCGTTCTTTGGAGAATTTCACACCTAGGAAGGGCCACACAATTTCAACTTTTGTTATCAGTTCCTTTTCCTAAAAAGTCAAAAGTATGTTCCTTGCCATACTGTCCAATATTCCCCCTTCCAAAACTGAGAGAAGATGGATAGCTGGGCATTAATAAATATCTGTTGAATCAATTAACCTATATGCATTGTTTTTTTCTTTGTTATTCCAGAAATGTTTGTGTTTGTAACCAGTAAAATGTCATAGAAACTAGCTCCTGAAGTATGTACATATAAAAGGCAGTATAGACATTATGTCAGGCTTACATCGTAGGTGAGGGATGCAAACATTTGCTTCATCCCTGAAGAAATTCATCTTACAACCTACGAGAACCAAGAGCTCGTCACAGTCCATCAGGCCTTTTATTAATCTTTTAAGGGATTAAGAATGACTGATGAGAACTTATATCCTAAAGTTATGCTCAAACTTTATATAATATAATGTGCTGATTTTTAAAAAATCAACAAATCTACTCCTATGCTCTTAGTTATGACATAAGCACTATCCAAAGACTTTAAGGGAAAGCCAAGGGGGAAAAAAATGCAGATTCCTTCTCTCCATAGCCTCTGTACATTTATTTCTTACACTCTACACACGTTCGGGCATGAAGAACTTGCCCCAGTACCGCCCCTTCTGGGTCAAGTCATATGGGCTCAGTACTTTCCGAATGCCCAGCATGTTGGCGGTGGCTATGCGCTCAAAGGTCCAGGGGTTTTGGTTGTTATGTTCTCTTTCCTCTTGATCTTTCCGCATCTTCTCTAGAGTCTCACGGCTCACAGCCTTTGCTGGGAAGGGCAACTTTTGGGCAACCTGGTCCAAGAAACCTTGTACCTCTTTGAATTCACAACGCCCACCCATCTCTACTACGAGGCGGCCAGCCTTCACAGGTGTCACATAGTGATCAATGGCACCTTTGCCTCCCCCCATGCGCTGCCCAATACCCTTGCGGGTGACGGGCTTGAAAGGGGCTGGTACTCGCCATATAGCAAACATGGTCTTGGGGTCCATGGAGCGATTGATCGTCAGGCGCATCATTTCAAAATGGCCCCAACGGAGGTAACCACCACCCAGTGCCTAAAAGTGAATGGGAGAATTAGAAACAAATGAGGTCTTAGATATTTTATATAGGTTCTTTTATATCTCTTCTTTTATAGTGGCTTCAACAATACACATTAAAATAAAAATATAAGTTCTAATAAGTACCATGGAAGAAAAGACTATGGTATATAGTAAGAAAGGAGAGCAAGGGTGGACCCACGTCATTGAAGAGCCAGGGAAGGCCTCCTTGAGGAGGTGACATTTAAAGCTGAGGCCAACAGGCACATGAAAAAATGCTCAACATCACGAGGCATCAGGGAAATGCAAACTAAAACCATGTTGAGACATCACCTCATCCCAGTTAGACTGGCTATAATCAAAAAAGAAGAATACCAAATACTGGCAAAGATGTGGAGAGAAAGGAACACTTCTACACTGTTGGTGTGGCTGTAAATTAGTACAACCACTATGGAAAACAGTATGGAGGTTTCTTAAACAGCTACAGATAGATCCTCCATATGATCCAGCAATCCCACTTCTGAGTATATACCCAAAGAAATGGAAATCATGTCGAAGGGACACCTGCACTCCCATGTTCATCACAGCTCTGTTCACAATAGCCAAGACATGGAACCAACCTAAATGTCCATTGATGGACGACTGGATAAGGAAACTGTGGTATATATACACCATAGAATACTACTTACTCTGCCATAAAAAAGAATGAAATTCTCCCATTTGCAACAACATGGACAAGTTTGGAGAAACTTATGTTGAGTGAAATAAACAAAGCTCAGAGGGATAAATACCGCATGTATTCTCTCCTAAGTGAGAGGTAAGAGAGAAAGAAGGAAGGAAAGAAAGACCACAGTGGTGCGCTGGACTTGGAGAGGGAGAGAGCATACCTAGGGATACAAAGTGGAGTGGGGGAAGGGGGATGGGGAGGGAGGTCGGGGATAACTGGTGGGGGGACATGGGGTATAATCACAATTTGTGATAACGGGCATACTGCCAGTATGGATCTGGCCATCACATCTTGGGCATGAGTGGTGACAATCAGCTTTGTACCTTATGAATATTCATAACCAAAAATTAATAATAATAAAATAAAGCAGAGGCCAGAAATAATAAGAACTAGCCATGGGAAAAGAGAGGAGTGTTCCAGGCAGAGGAATGTGTATGTGAAGTCCCTGACATAGCAAAAGGCTTGGTGAGTTTGAGTAGAAACCAATGTGGCTGGAGTGGAGTGAGGAATGGGGAGAGGGCACGAGGTTCTGCGAGGTCAGCAGGGGCTGATTACACAGACTGTGGGTAGAAGACTTTAAAACATCACTGGGGCTGTCTGATGGAAAATAAGCCCTGCTGCACACCTGTTTGTGTAGCTACTGAAGTCTTCATGGAAGTCACTCAAAAGTAAGAAAACAACTGTCCCATACCCTAAGTGGTGGACAGTTTTAGTTTTTAGCAGTAGCTTCCAAAGATCTCATGGTGTGATTATGGGGCAAGTGAGGTAGCCTCTTCCTTCTCTCACTTTCTTACTTTTACATTATTTTCATCCCACATTTAAAAAAAAAAAAAGATAATAACTTAAATGTTTACTGGGTAGCCAGTAGCCTCCGTGCACATCAGTTTAAAGAACAACTGGTGGCAGTTCTAATAAACTGTGAAGGAAGAGACTGGAATTAACTCAGAGAGTATGAGATGTTGTTAATCCCCACCTTCTGTCCTGTAGCTGCTTGATGCTTAAACTCACCAAGATTGCAAAATTGCCTTCTGTGAACTCAGTAGCTTCAGTGGAAGGTCCACGTATATCCTTCAAGTTTTTAGGTTCTCTTCTTGTTTTTGGCACAAGTGGTACTCTTTCAACAAATTTAAGCCTGTACTTTTCAGGAATGGAAATACCTAAAAGGAGCACAGGCAACCAAGAATAAGTAAAGCTACACATCTCAAAGGATCTATTTTCCTCCTATAAAGATTTGTGACAATCAGGTGAAAGTCTTCAGGTTACCACTGAATAATAATTTCAAAGATGTGTCACATTCTTCTTGTGGATGCTTTTAGTGACTAATGTTTTGACTATGACAATGGTTAATGCAAATGTTTCTAAACCTTTGAAGATAGCAAAATTTTAACCTTCAAACCAAAATGCATTTATTAAATGCCTACCTGTGCTCAACACTATAACAAGGACTGTTTGGAAATCATTATTTCATTTAATATTTACAACAACTTTATAGTATTGGTATTTTTTAAGGCTTCCTTTTCTAAAATTTTGAGCTTTTTAAAGTTTAACACACATAAATCCATGCACCAAATAAAAAAATACACAACTCAGTGAACTATCAGAAAGTGAACACACGAACACACAAATGTATCACTATTACTGAGATCAAGAAACAAAACATTAGGTAGGCAGTATTTTTAATTTCCATTTCTATAAGAGGAACCTGAGGCCTACAGACATTTTATAATTTTATCTAGGGCATTCAGTCAAAACAGCAAAAGCAGACTGCATGACACCTTTTAAAAAAATACTCCTTCCCTGGATGTTAATGAGGGTAGAGGAAAGAATACTATTGTACTACATTGTACATAAAAATACCTAGGTTTAGTTCTGCCACATTCCTGCTGGGAAACTTACAACCTAGGAATCCTTTGATCAATGCTCTGTATTTTATATACGCAGGGGCTTTTCATGCTGAGACCTGCACAGATCCTACAATGTGCAACAACAGTGCCAGGTCATGGCAGGTGGGCACAACTTTAGGCCAGACATGTGACATTTTCTGTATCATCTTTACTTAACAATTCAGAAAAAAAAAATTAACTTGTAAGTCATGTAAACAATTTCTATAGTGAATCAAGCAAGGCTCTATGGTGGACACAAATATAAAACAGGAGACTTCAAGGAAATATCAAATTATTACTTCAGTTACAAAAACTACCCCTCAGCTTCTATGAGGGGTCTTCAAAAAGTTCATGGAAAGATTTGTATTATCTTTCAATTCCATTTCTCCATGAACTTTTTGAAGTACCCTTGTATATGCAGCTACAGAGACACTTAGTAATGTTTTCTCTTGCTTACAAGTCAACAAGTACTTCCAGGGCACATAGTAGTTTAACGATTATGTGTAGAAGATAAGACTGTCAAATATCCAGGCCCCTGTCACTTTTTTTGAGGTTTCCAGTATAATAAAAAAAAAAGAATGATACATTAGATTTACAAAATTGTGCCTTACCTTAACGGTTTATATTTAACAAGCCAATATTCTTCACATAATATTGTTAAATGACTGCATATATATGGAGAGAACATCAAAAGGTTCAAATTGGAGGTAGTCAGCCCTGGCTGAGTGGACCACCGCTTACACATCAGTGGTAAGCAGTAGGGGAGCTATCCCATTAGACATTTACTCCCTAAGAGCAGGGACTCTTTTTGGTTCCTTTTGTTCGTCGATTTATCTCTGGTGCTTAGAGCACTGCTTGGCAATATAGTATGTCCTCAGTTCATGTTTATTGAATGAGTGAATGGGGACAGGAAGCACAAGAACACTCCTATGTCTTCTACCCTCTGCTGGGTTCCATCAGAGAAAAGACTTAGAGGAAAATGACAGATAAGCTCTCACCTTCAAAAGTTGGCACCGGGAGTAGCGTCTTTAGGCCAGCACTGGCGGGCAGGGCCGCCCAAGAATCTACGAAGATAAATCAAGTTAAAAGATCAAGGCGACAAGGCCGGGGCTGGTACAACCTGGGCTAAAGGCACTTACTCCTGACTGAAGTGTAGGACACGGGTTCCACTAACTGGGCTCACAGGACCAGGCCCCCAAAGAGGCCCGCCGGGGTCTCTGGGCACCTCCCGGAGGAGGCTGTGACCCTTCTGTGACTCCCTACAGTGGAGGTGGAGGTTGCGGGATAGCGCAGCCCCTAACCAATGCTTCAGCAAACTTATCCAGACACTTCTTTGGGTAGCATTGGAGGGTGGGGAAGGGAAAGAGGGCAAGTCTTCTTTAGGCACCAAAGGGGACTTCTGACCTGACAAGGGCGCCCGCAGGATCGGCACACTGGCGCGAGCGAGCAGCCTCCACATGGTCACGCGCGCCCGGCCGCGCTGGGGTCCCCACTACCGCGACTAGGGCGCTTTCCTCCAGCCCGGGAGAGAGCGGCGCTCCTGACCCACGCCGGAACCCGCTCAGGACGCCGCTCAGCCCGGCCGGAAATCGTGCTCAGGCCGTCCACGCCGCACAAAGTCCCGTCGGAAGCGGAAGAAACCGGAGCCTCGGCGCATTAGTTCCGGCGCTGGTGACTGCGGATCAACGGCGCGATCGACAGAGCCAAGCCCCGGAGCGCCCTCGGCCGTCTGGGGTTCTCCGTCCCATTCCAGGTCTTCACCGAGGGCGGCAGGGCGGGGAGTTTTCTGGGCGGAGTACAACGCTGTTAAAGCCCGGGGTTCCTTTAGGAAGTTGGTCCCTTACCGTTCAGTACATGACAACCTTCTCTGGGGGGCCCCTCAAGACATTAGGAAAATACCTGTGAGTCTTCATTGGCTTAGCATCAATGGGGCGCTTGCAGTGTGTCAGACATTGATACAGTACCTCTTTGTGTTTAGTCATCCCAACAAATCCGTGAGGTAAGTCATTATACTTATTTTTCAGATTCCATCCCAAGGGTCAAAGAATTTAACTTTCACAGGGTCACACAACAGGATAACAGCACAGCCAGATTTTGAGCACAGTCTGTGTGACCCCAGAGACCCCAGTGAATGGACAGTATCATAAGCTGATAGCAAGTTAGAATGAAATAATGTGTAATTATTCTGGGAGTATGTTGGGTAAATCATTTTTATGGACTTGAATCTTTCTAATTAGAATGAGAGAGGATCTTTTTGTCGAGTTTCTAGGACACAATGGGATTAGTAAACTGAGACTGATGTTTGTTTGTATTTAAATCACACCAAAACTGTGTGTGGCCTTTCCCAGGGATTAATTTCACAGATGTCAACAAGTAAAACCTGTAATGCTTGCAGAGCTACTGGAAGAACTTTCTCTGTTCACAATTTTATGACTTCTTGATTATCTACGCACTGAATTTGCCTCAGAAGAGTTAATGGACTGTCATTTCTGTCCCAAGAGCAGTTCTAAAAAGGTTAAGACATAAACACTCCCCCCCTCCCCCCAGCCAGTGTCAGATTCTGGGCAGCTCTTCTGCACTTCCCCTTCCCCTCCACCAAAATGGGAGATCCAAATGTGCTCATGCATTTAGAAATCTCAAGCTGAATATTGTGTAATGTTGTTCTGGGTGAAAAATAAAGCAGCAGTAAAATCAACTCTGATTGGTTTCTTTTCTTTTTTAAAAAAAGATGAACCGTAAGGAGATCTTAATTTAACCCTTGGCCTGGTGTTGTCAGCACCACGCTCAGCCAGTGAGCTAACTGGCCATCCCTATATAGGATCTGAACCCGCAGCCTTGGTGTTATCAGCACCACACTCTCCCGAGTGAGCCATGGTCCAGCCCTCTGATTGGTTTCTAAGTCTTTAGGTGCCCTAAAACTTTCATCATTTATTTTAAAAGAATAAAAAAAAAAAAAATGCAATCTACAGATTTAGTGCAATCTCTTCAAAATACTAATGTCAATTTTCTCAGAAATATAAAAAAGCAATCCTTAAATTCATATGGAACCACAAAGGGCCTTAAATAGCCAAACAATCCTGAGCAAAAAGAACAAAGCTGGAGACATCCCACTCCCTGATTACAAAACGTATTATAACGCAATTGTTATCAAAACAGCATAGTACTGGCATAAAAAGAGACATGTTGACCAATGGATGGGATAGAAAGCTTAGAAACGAACCCAGGCTTCTATGGTCAAATGATTTTTGACAAAGATGTGAAAAACACACAATGGGAAAAGACAGATTCTTCAGTAAATGGTGTTGAGAAAACTGGATATCCACATGCAGAAGAATGAAACTGGACCTTTGTCTGACATCATATACGAAAATATACTCAAAATTAATTATATAGACCTGAAACTGTAAAACCACTAGAAGAAAAATAAGGGAAAACCTCCATGACATTGGTCTTGGCAATGATTTTTTGGCTATAATCCTGAAAGCACTGGCAACAAAAGCAAAAATAGTCAATGGCATCAAACTAAAAAGCTTTTGCACAGCAAAAGAAACAAGTGTTGGTGAGGATGTGGAGAAAAGGGAACTCTTGTACATTGCTGGTGAGAATGTAAATTAGTACAGTTATGTAGATTAGCCCATTAGTTATGGAAAATGGTATAAAGTTTCCTCAAAAAACTAAAAATAGAACTACCATATGATCATGTAATCCTGTACTGGGTATATATCCAAAAGAAGCGAAATCAATATGTTGAAGTGTATCTGCATACTTATGTTCGCTGCAGAATTATTTGGAATTGCCAAGATATGGAATCAAACTAAGTGTCCATCAATGGGTAAACGGAGTAGTAGGATACTATTCAGCCTTAAAAAGGGGGGAAGTCCTGTCATTTGCAAGTGAAATAAGCCAGTCATAGAAAGACAAATACCACATGATCTTACTTATGTGTGGAATCTAAAAATATTGAACTCATAGAAGTAGAGAGTAGAATGATGGTTACCATAGGCTGGTGGAGAGGGAGAGAGGAAGGAAGGAATAAGGAATTGTTGATCATAGGGTCAAAGTTTCAGATATACAGGAGGACTAGATTTTCAGATCTATTGCACAACAGGGTGACTATAGTCTAATTTCAAATGTCTCGCCATAAAAAATGACAGGTAAGTAGATGATGGATATTTCAGTTAGTTTGATTTAATCCTTCCACATTGTGTGTGTGTGTATATCAAAACATCACATAGCACCCATAAATGTGTACAAGTATGATTTGTCAATCAAAAATAATAAAATAAAAAAGTAAAGTTTAAAAAAAGACCAAAAAATAAACCCAAAGTTCTACATTTAACTAGTAACTATAATAATATCTATTGTTCTTTGCTAGAGTTGTGTTAGGTACAATGGAGGATACAAGATGAAAAAACAATGATCCTGTTCTTTAAGAATTTATATTTATGTGGAGACAATATGGTGAGAATACAAGTAGCTAATGTTGAGATAGAAAAGTGTAAATAAAGGGCTGTGAAAAATTGTAGGAGGGACCTGAGGTCTTTCCTGGCCATCCTCCCTGCCTACTGAAAATGATTTTTCCTTTCTTTAATTTTTCAAAGCTCTTTATTTACATGTCCCTTCTAATCTTTCAATGGTAGTTATTTGTAGGAAACTCAGGTTCAGAGATTAAATGATTAGCCACACAGCTAGTATGATTCAAAATAGGTATAAGAATGTTGATATTCCTATTTTTACTGTAATAGTTTTGCTAAAATCTCCCAAAAGTTGGTCTTCAAACCCCCTGCCTCAGACTCTCTTGAAACCCTCGTTAAAAAAATGTAAAAATCTGACCTCTTAAGTCAGAATTTCTGAAGGTGGAGTTCAGGAATTTCTTTTTTTAACTAGCCCCATGGGTGATTCTAATGCCTAACAAAGTTGGAGAACTAGTACTTGGTGAGCAGTTTGAAAATTTAAAAAATTAGAATATAAGTGCAAAGCATTATTTCTGCATTAGCTAGGCCTACATCCCCTGGGATTTGTAATTTCTTCCATCTGTATAAAAATTGTTAGCACCTCAGTCTCAGTCTTTAATCTTTCTTATTTAAAATCAAGAGATAACAGAAACCTGTAGCCTAGTTCCAGGTCTGGTTGTTGATGTTAATAGCACACACACACACACACACACACACACACACACACACCCCACCCCACACACTTTTTGGCATGTTCGATTCTAATAATAATTTCACAATGTAATAAATCACCATGAAACTTCCTCACTCTGGGAAGACCACAGGTTTATGTAAGGAACTTGTCAGTATTAGCTTCCTCATCAATTTAGCTTCTATATGGTTTAGAGCATTTCTAAAAGGGCAATGGTACCATCAGGTTTTGCCAGAACAAAATCTGATGTTCTCTAATACAATATTAATAATTAATATATTGGAGTCATTTACCGTTTACAGAGGGCCTTAATATAGACATAGATTATTTTATTAGAGTACTATTTCATAGATAATAATGGTGGAAATGGAGCACAGAAATGTTAAAATCATTGCACGGAGCTGAGATTTCCATGAAGGTGTTCATTTACTCAAGAAACATCTATTGAACATCTACCTTATTGCTCTGAGAAAAATTAATGCATCTACACATATTCCAGGGCTTTAAAGGTAAATTAGATTCAATTTCAACTTGAGGAGTTACTAAAATTTTACAAGAGCTATTTCTGACTGTTCTCTTTTATTGTCAACAGGCACAAAGAATGGATCAACTCCTTGTCTGACCAAGAAGGGGGAACAATGCCAACTAATGTTCTCATTTTGTCTTGGCATTCACAGATTATATCCATGGTATTCGTATGAATGGGTTCACCATAATGAATGAATCTCTATTGTTGCATGGTCGACTTATTTACAAAACTGTTATTATAGACCGTGCTGCAACGAACATCCGTATATATACCCTTTTGGTACTGTTTTGATATTTCTTTTGGGCCAATCCCAAAAAGAGAATTTACTGAATCAAAGGTAATGTTAATTTTAAATCTTTTGACATCATGCCATTGTGCAAAATTGGCCTCCACCAGCAATATATCAAAGTGCCTTTTTATCGACACCCTTGCTGAGGAAGGATATTATAATTCTTTTAGAGATTTGCCAATATGAAAGGTAGAAAACAGCTTCCAATGTTATATTTATAACTGGATATTAAAATGGGATTGCTTCTGACTCAGTTTTGCCTGAGGCCCCAAAGTATGTGGTAATTCCTACACTCCAAAGTGAGGTGATGGGCTACCTAGGCAGAGTTAATAAAAAAGGCAATAGGAACTGGCTCAGATACCCATTTTCCTCTAGCCCATAAAAAGCAGTGGAAAAGCCAAGAAAGGAAGTAGAGCCTGGAGATTATGGTAAGATTTCTTTGACCGAGTTTTCGGTGTACTGTTAGTTTCTTACCCTCCTCCAATGGTGAGGGCTGGGGGTGCTCCATTAAGCCTAGAGAGAGACATTTCCAGACCATTTAGAGAGCTGGATGTGGTTCCTGTGCAGTTTGAGGGACATGGGGCATTGGTGTTTG